AGTATACAGGTCTCTTGGTAATTACTCGAAAGTTCCCTCCATCTCGAAGCCATGGATCTGCCCAGGCAGAAGTGTCGTTCCCATTTCCGATCCGTCTCCTAAGGCCCATCTTTAGAAAAGGAAGAGTCTGCCAAATGCTCCGCCCACGTCGTCGAAGGTCTGTAGCCTATACCCGCATCTCGGATATTCCCATGTGGAAAATAGCGGGCTGCCATAATCTTTGATAACAAGAGATTCGGATTTGAAAGAATTCTCCACGCTTGCTTGTTTTTGTTGCCATATTTGAATGATTCAAAAATATGCATCTATCTTATAATATGTAACACTACAAGAAAACAGGGCTTCACCGACAGAAAAATGTGGTGTTTTAGTGGCTGAAAACAATTAGTTGGTAACACGTTTCCAACATGTACGTCGCTGACTTGAATCTTACCGACGAAAAATCATCATTTTGAAGATCATTTGTGCGACGGAATATTATTTGATCACCGACCCCATGTCCGTCGCTAATTTACCAATGGTTACAAATTTTGGTCGATAGCATTTAGCGGCGGGGTTTATGCCGACGGAACATATCGGTCGGTGAATCCGTCGGTATAGTTATTTAGCGACCGATTTTATTGATTTGGCGATGTATATTTCTGTTGGTGAAGCCCTTTTTTGTAGTGTAAACTAATTTCGAATTTAAAATGATATTTTGTAATATATACAATATATTCTAATAAATATTGAATTTAATGATTTGGCATACATTAATAATTATATATATATATATATATATATATATATATATATTAACTAAATATGCAATAGTATATTATATTGGCTGATTACGTAATATCTTACAATAATATCCAAAATACTATATATGATCTTGATCACCAATTTTGTAAATTTAGACATATTTTGCACTCATATGTGAATGTCATCAAATTCGAACATAAATTATTTTTAAGTTAAAATATTAATATAAGTTCTACATATATACCACAATTTATTCATAATTTTTCAGTTATTGTTTCATTTTAAAGGTTAATAGTATAACATGCAATATATTCTAATCGATTCTTATGTTTCATACGAACTACATCCTTCAATGAACAAAGTTTTTTTTTTAAATCAAATGACTAGAATTGTTTCAACTTATATAATGGTTGATTATTTCATAATTATAACTAATAGTTATATGATTTGTTATAGGTTCGTAATTTATAAAACCTTTACTTATTGACGATATCCTGTTTAATTAATTATAAATATGTGGATTAACCCATTCATCCCAATGCATCACAACATACATTACATTTCATTATGGTAGATGTAACACAAAAAAAAAATGAGAGTAAAAATAACCACACGGTGTATTAATATTTGATTTGGCCTTACTCGGTCATATGAGAATCCTTATTTCCATTTTTTTGTGATGATCGAATCTTTCGTCTTATGGTTATTCGAAATTCTAACTATATAATATTAGTAATAGATAACACAAATAGCTAAAAATGTTGCTACATGAGGTATTAATATTAGTATTACTATTATTTAGTATTAGGATTAATAGTAAGATTAATATTAAGATCAGTATTAGCATTATGATTATGCTTAAAATTATGGTCACCATTAGGATTATGATTTGAGTTTATATTAGTATTAGAATTACTATTGGCATTAGTATTGGAATTAGAATTACGGTTAGGATTAAGATTGAAATTATGACGAGAATTATGATTATTATTAAATATTAGTATTCATTCAGTATTGGTGTGAATGGCGGTCATCCATAACATCCTATAATTCTTAACAATTCTTTTTTTTTTTTTCGTGTTTTCCCTTTTTGTGAAAAACAAAGCAATAAAAGAAAAGAGATGAATTTTGAGTTGAACTGAAGTCCTTAGAACATCTTTAGTTGTTTTATTTTCTAGAATTTATCTAGAACTTTTATGGAATGAACATCTTTTGTAGTTTAATTTTCTAGAATGTATTTAGAACTTTTATGGAATGATCTAGAGGGCCACTGACGATCGTATAATTAAATCCATCACCATCATCCATTAAAGTTTTAGAAGTTGTAAACATTATTATAAACAACCTCCATGACTGTTCCGAAGAACCACCGAAGCCCTCTCTGATGGATCCCGAAAGAGAGATAGTTCAAGAGAGAGATTGAAAATTTAATTTTTTTGACTTCGACGGGTGAGAAATGGGCCGAATCATCTCAAGGGCAACTATGACAAAAGACCAAATGTCATATTCGGAACCATATGCCTCGTATTTGCACTCCATGATTTCTAGGGCAAGAAAGGATTTATCAACACGCCTTGAAACGTGTAGGCATTGTAACCTAGATCCGACAATTTGATACAAGTGTCCATCCCAATGAGTATATTACCTGTTTTCAGATTGTAGTGGAATCACCCTTGTTTGTGGAGAGAGTCGAGGGCCAGCAACACCATCTTTAGAACGTACCGGACCTTGAATTCCGGGAATCCCTTCTGGAAGGTCGAATATAAAACCGACCTCACAGAGCCACCTCCAATCAATGGGATGATAACCCACACTTAATCCTTCTTTTCACATAGCCATGTGATGGGCATTTTTGCCATTCGCCTTTTTTTTATATCCATCAACTCCAAAATATTTGAAAACATTGAAGTCCGCATAGGATTAGATATTCCAAATCAACATGGTCACGTTATATGGTAAGTATTACCAAAATTAAGGGAATTAGAGAGATACTCTTATCACATTAAACTATATATACACGACATAACATAACCCATATATCACAATCTCTGTTTATAAATCCAAAGTTTTTCTCTCTCAACCTGTGAATTAAAGATCGATTGAAGAAGTCATGTCTGCCTCCATAATTTTGCTTATACTCGATCGAAGAACCAGCCAGTTTATGTTTCTTACCCCGGGGTATGGGGAAACTCACCTAGGAGAAGACCGTACTAATAATAATGGTGGTGGTTTGTCCGAAGAAGATATTGATAGGTGTCTGAAGAAAAAGATTTTGTGTCCGGATATTCTCGATAATAAAGGAGACGAGGAGGAGGAAACTGAAATTTGCGCGATTTGCTTGGATGGTATGTGTCACGAGAAAGACGAGACAGGTGTTGGAATCCTCTGATGCGGCATGAGTATCATGTATGCTGCATCAAACAATGGTTGCGCGTGAAGAACTTTTGTCCACTATGTAAAGCCGTCGCAATGCGCACGTCAGCCTGTAATTGATAAATCGTGAAACAATTTATTTGATAGGGGAAGACAAATTCAGATTTGTTAGTTAATTGCCAGTGAATTTTTTCCTTCTAGCTTCGTAATTTGATAATTAGGTATTAGCATCCCATGTGTTTATGTAATTTGATGTTGATCAACAAGTAATATAATCTAAAGTATTTTTTTAATTGTTTCGTACTGTTTTCTACACCATATATAGTAATTTATTTTGACAAATTTTATTTAAAAGTAAAAAGAAACTATTTCCATTGTAAACTTATAATAGATCAATAATAGAGATGAGATATTCAAGAATTGGAAACTTTAAGAAAAATTGATAACCAAGAACATAAGGTATTGAAGCTAGAATAGAAGAATCAACTATGATCAACAATAAAGTTTAAACTGTAAATCATCTTATGGAGAATCAATGCGAGAGGGAGAATAAATGTGGAGTTACTTGCACTAGAATAAAAGATTTCCCCACATAACAAAGAAGCAAAATCATATTCAATGATAAAAGAATTGAATAGAGGAACTTGCAGAAAATTCGGCTCATCGTTGAGCAAGAATGAAAACGAGATTCAGGTTAGCCGAGTCGAGTGATAGAGTTCTCAAAGAAATGAGAAATCTAACAAAAGGTATAACTAAATTTAATGAAGATAAGGACTTTCACAAGAGTGTAATCAAAACGACTGAGAATAGAAATCTCAAAACAGTTTAATCTAAGAGAATATGGTTCTCAATAGAAGATTCCACATAGTGCTATGAAGCAAAATTGAATTCAATAAATTGATAAAATAATTGAGTAAATGAACTCTAAGGCATTTGGCTCACCCTAGATTATAAATGAAAACGAGATTAATGTAAGCCAAATCAAGTGATATAGTGTTCAAAGGAATGAGAAGTCTGACGAAAGGTATATATCCGAATTGAAACGAGATTAGAAATCTCATAAGAGTTGAATTAATTTCGAATGAAATAAGAACCTCATAAAGTAGGTAAACAAAAGTGGATGGTAGAAGAATAAAATAGAGTCCCGTAAAATGGATAAGACAAACCATAGAATATTCAAACGGGTTAAGAAAACCTCATTTGTGATCAATAATAGCAATGTGATGTGGCCAAAAGAACCAAGAACATCAAATATCTATAGGAAAATAGATAAGAGTCTCGATTAAACTAACTCAAATATTATGAATTCGGGATCAATTCGTTCGTGGAGAAGCACGTATTATGGATTTTTCTTGTCTTTGGATCTTGTCCTTAGATTTATTGAGCAAACACAACGAGAATTACTAGTCTTTCTTCTGAACTCTTATGGATTTTGTCAATAGTTGCGTTGAAAATAGAGGCACGAACAACTTGCCATTCTTGAATTCTTGAATGGACCGTTCTCTTACGACTAGAATTAACTTTTCTGCTTGCAAAGTCCACCTAAACCTCAAACAAACACGATAAACCGAGTCCAAATAACGTGTCGAGACCAAGGATTGAGGGTAGGACATTAATATGGAATATTTCTCTCTATCTATTTCGATAATAGACGCCAAAATACCTTCTCAATACCTCTAATACTGAATGTTGACTTATTATTATAGGCATATATACCATCAATAACCTCAATTTCAAACGTAAATTCAGAGCTCTCTAACATCCAAGAGTCTAAACCCAGCCTTTAAAGCCTAAGTTTCTACAATTTCCAAGGATCTATATCGGATGTCGCTCGGGTATCCAACCCAAGCTCTGATACCACCTGTGACGCCCCACTACCGAAATACACTGTTTTTTTTTTTTTAGATTAATAAATACAATGACTACAACTTAATTTATCATTACTAAAATCAAATACATGGCAACCAAAGCTTACAGCTAATCTCGTATACATAGTTCTTGAATTACAAAATTCTTAAACACAACACTAGATTAAACTCTCTAAAATCTCTAAATAACTTCAACTCCTAAGAGTCGTCAACATAATCATCCACTAATGCACCTGCCACTAAGAATAAGAAGGAAAATAAAGGAGGAGAAGTCCAAATGGACTTAGTGAGGAGTACAAGGGCAAAATAATCGAATCAAATAAAAATCACAATATAAGTGTTCAACTTGGAATTGGAGTTGGAATTGGACCATCTAGAGAATGATCGTTCGATAAGGTATAAAGGCCAAAGTATAAGGCACATCGGTATGATCAGAATAAACAATACAATCAATATGTACTGGTAAAGAACAATATTCAACGGGTAATTCCCGGATATCAATTATGTATTTCGTGGAGATTCCCACGATAAAAATTTCGGATATCAAATATGAGACCATGGAGATTCCCATGGTAACAATTTGTTCATGTACCTGTACCTCCCTTGTGACTCCATTAGCCGTAACTACCTTATAACACCGATCAGGGAATGACCATGCTAATCGATCAATATGCATGCCCGGGCGCATGCCGATCTATCCATCAGCACAGTTAACCTCCAACTATGCCAATGGTCTAGATCCAATATGGGTACTGTCGAAGAGACCATCCACTGTCGGCCCAATACCGCCCAGCAGTCTTTTTCGAACAGCCCCGGGTCCAACTGGCCAATTATCCTTAGGGCGTCCCCAAAGGAATCAATAATATAGAGATACGGAGATGCTTCCGACTATCTCAATTTACATTTTGAATCCAATAATGAATTCCACTTTGGAAAGAGTCAATATCATAGTAAGTTTTGGGATTTCAATAACAAGTGACAATAATATGTGGTCACGAATTCACAAGTCAAGAAAGGTACGATCAATGGTTTCAATAAGAGAGTGACCACAATTCATGATAGATGGATCTCAATCAACAATAGTCTAGGGTTAAAATTGAATCCGTAGTTGAATAGCTTGAAAGACAAGTGGTTTCAAAGGATCGATGAGAAGTCAAGATATGAACGATCCATCAATTCCCAGTAGGTACGAAACGAATGATTTAACGGATAAATAGAATAATCCTAAATGGTACAAGAGTCGGGAAAAGAACGACTTACGTTCATTGAACCACTGTAGAAACAAATCAAATGATTTAATGAATCATAATAGAAGTGGTTCCAACTACTATACAAGTCAATATGTGAAACGATTCACAATTGATTGAGAATCCGACTGAAACTCCAAATTATTCAAGAATCGATAAAAGGACTCGATTGAGTAGTCAAAGAATCAGGATGAGCAATAACGGATATCTTATTCCCAGTGTGTATTTTGTTTTTCAAAGAAAATATAGTGAAGAAATAGAGATCCTCACCTGAAGTCCAATGCAAGTGCTATAAAACACCTTACTCTCTATTCATGCTCAAGTCTTGAATGAGAGCTTTAGTACGCTCGATACCTATAAAAATATTCATCACTTAACAAGATTCTAAATGCTAATATAACCGTATTATTCCACTATATCACATAGTCAATTTCTTGAAACATTTATTAAGAATGTCTTGCTGCCACAGCTTATTCGAACAATAGTTACGATCACCTCACTTATCCAAATAACCTAAACGATATATCAAATTAAAGCTAACGTCTGTATCTACAGGTTCACTGAAGACCCTGAGCCCAAATTATCAACCTAACACAGCAATAACAGCCCCGGAAGATGAGTACATGAAACTGCCAGGTTTTTGGAAAATTCGTTGTTGGCACACTTTGTTTGAAAAATCATAACAATTAGGACGCTAATCCAAATTGATCACATGATACGGACAAATGAAAGCTAACAGAAAATCCTACGAGTTCACAGAAGGCTTTAGTCCCAAATTCTGAACCGAAAATAGCAGAAACAGCCTCAACCAGCATTACAGAACTGTTCGGATTTTGAAAACATTCACTGGCTGGTACAGATTATTTGAAAAATCGTAATAATTTGTACGGTTATCGAAATTGGTCATATCATATACCAATGGAAAGATGAAAACTTCATCTACAATTCAACAGAAGGTACTGACCCCAAAATGTTATCCTAACATATAAAAAAACAGCTTCGAAAGACTGATTGCCGAAACTGCCAGAATTGGCAGACTCGGACTACCCTGTTTCCCCTTTCGAAGAGACCATAAACCTCGAATTAGAAATAATGTAACACATACTTACAACTCTCGAGTTTCTCTACGAGTTTCGTCAAGGAATGATTCTCAAATCCGCACTCCTAACCCTCCAAATTCTGCTCCGAAAACAGGTGCGGCAGCAGGTCTTTATTTCTCTGAATTTTGCCGACATAACTGTCGGGTTTAATTCTGTTATATATAATAGTCGAAATTTGGGGAAAAGATGATATTCCTATAGTTTTCGATCTGCTCTACCACTTTTGAGAAGAAACAAATGCGAAATTCAAAGCCTAAGTACCTCAAATCGACTCCTCAAGTTCAGGGGCAGGCTGCACTTCTTGCCGTCTTCCGACCACCGTCAGTGACCTCCGCAGGCGAAATACACCACCATGGGGAAGCTGACTTCCTGAGTTTTCCACTCACGTGACTTTATTGTTGAAAATCCACGCTTAAGGTTTCGTGCAACTCCTCTCTCTCGGCTCATTTGAAAATTACTTCTTTTCCCTTTCAATATTTCTTCCATCAAAACCTCTCAATCCTTTTCGTCTACTCAAAATTTCCATTATCTTCACTAAGCTCTCGATCAATAAACGAAAAGAGCAAAAGAGAGAGAGAAGAGAGAGAGCGATATGAGAGAGTGAGAAACTGTTTGGGCTTATAAAAAAACGAAAAGAAGAGGAATGATCGGATAGGAAGATGGATGATGACTCTTACGACACGCGTTTATCTCTTAATTTCCTTGGTTAATTGCATTCCATCCTCACTTACCCGATTAAGAAGACCAGTCATAAACTTGGCTGCCAAGTTTTATAATTATAGAATTATTATTATGCTTATGCCCCAAAATTATCACATAACAACACATTAGCCCCAAATCTCATTATTAAGTACAATAAACTCTTAAAGGAATCCCATAAGCATAAATTACGGGATGTTACGTTGATCAACAAGTAATATAAATTAAAGTATTTTTTAAATTGTTTCGTACTGTTTTCCGCACTATATATAGTACTTTATTTTGACAAATTTTATTTAAAAGTAAAAAGAAAATATTTCCATTGTTTGAAGTAGGGCTGTGCGTTGGTTGGTTTGGGTAAAAACCAGGCAGAAAACCAACCCAACCCATCCAACCAACTTTGGTAAATATTGGAAACCGTTATCGACCCATTTTACATGGGTTGGGTGATGGTTGAAAACCAATTTGGTGGGTCGGTTGGTGGTTTGGTTGATGGGTCATCCATCTAAATATTTTTTTAATATTTTATTAGTTGTTACAACGTTATATCTTTTATAAATTAAATGTGACTAGTTCAACAATATTCAAATAAAAGATTCAAAACATTACGGGCATATATATTGCAATTAAACATAAATATTTCAACAAATAATAACCGTCCAAATATTTAGGCTATGTTGTAAAATTAAAATAGTTCAAATTAGATAATTACGTTAGATTTATTGCTTTTAGGATTTTGGTCAATATTAGACAATTTAATAAATGTGATATAAAATAGAAATTTGAAATAAAAAATATTAAACATTTTAATTAAAATTAATAAATAATAAATTAATAAATAAAGTTGGTTGGCCGATATTACCCGACTAACCAACTTTTTACCATATTAGAAACCATTATCGACCCAACTATACATGGGTTGGTTGATATTATCGACCCAACTTAAATGGGTCGGTTGATGGTTGATTATCCATCACAAATTATGGGTCGAAAATGGGTTGGTTGGTGGTTAAAACCGATCCATGCACAGCCCTAGTTTGAAGTAGCCATGGATGTAGACTCCGGGTAAGACGAGATCATGTTGGACTTCAATTAATTTATTAATTGAAAAGACTATGATGAATATTAGCAGGCAACATAAATCTGAAATTATCTAATACCAATAAATTGTCTTTCCACATTAATCAATATTTTTAATCTGACATGAAGGGACGGCTTTACAGAGCGGACAAGAATTCTTATTACGGTCGAAATATTATTAGGACGTTAGATGTTTTCCAAATATATATAAGGATTCAACTTCCCAGAACTAAATCTTAGGTTTTAAAGGTGCAACAATGGCGAGAATGATGGTGATTAACCTCTAGCGACGTTTGCAATTGAACCTCCAACGACTTGGCAAGCCAACTTGGTGACCTGACTCTACGAAAGTTGGATTGATTTGTGGAAATTTGTGCAGGATTGAGTTAAAAGGGATTGCGGGGTTAGTTTTGGGTAATTACAACCACCCCTCAATTATAAATCTTCTTACACGTCCACCCTTGCGGTTTAAAATTTACTGGAATCTTCGAGATTATATGGAATATTATCACTTTTGTACTCGTTTTATCCCATTCGAACTCTACATTTTGAAACAAGATGAGCATAATATGTGTTTTTTGGCTTGTATATATCAGATTGTGGTGCATCAGAAATTGTATTTTTACACAAAATTAGTACAAACTAGAGCACATTCCACGAAATCTATATGATTATCTTGAATTTGACACAATAAGGTGGAGGTGTAAGAAAAAAATCATAGTTGAGGAGTTAGATGTAATTATCCAAACAAGAGGATTTTTTTTTTTTGTGTTTTTACATCTAGTTAATGACTATAGGGCAAATGACAAAAAGGGACATAACAAGGGACTTAAATGCACATTGGTCCACAAAAAAAGAAAAGAAAAACAGTCTTTCAAATAAACACATCCCCATGTATTTAGTCTAAAATACCCTCCATAATATAATTCTTATTAATTCCATCCATTATGTTCCAACTTCCTTAATATTACACATTGACCCCGGATTTCAACAAATATATCACATTAACCCCCAAAATAATAATTTTTTGAATTTTTTTTTTCCAGCGTTGACTTTTTTTTTGAATTTTTTTTTTCTGAATGTTTTTTCAGGCCGGTCAACGGCCGTTGACCGCCGGTTTCCAACATTGACTTTATTTTTTGATTTTTTTTTTTTTTTTTAATTTTTTTTTCTTAAAAAAAATATTTTAATTAATATGACTGTCCTAAATTACTGTCTCAGACAATAATATTACTGTTTGGGACAGTAATATTATGAATATTATATTTCGAACAGTAATATTACTAATATTATTGTCCCAAACAATAATATTACTATTATTAATGTCTCAAACAGTAACATTATTGTCTGAGACAGTAATTTAGCAGCCAAAACATTAATATTAATTAAAATAATTTTTTTAAGAAAAAACAAAAATTTCTAAAAAAAAAATCAATTAACAATTAAATAACTGTCTCCGACAGTTAAATAACTGCTGGAGACAGTAATTTAGCAAATAAGGCAGTAATATTTAATAAAATGTTTTTTTAAGAAAAAAAAGGTCAATTAAATGTTAAAATATATTATTTATGAAAACACAATTAAAAAAAAAGTCAACACCGGAGATCGGCGGTCAACGGCGGTTGACCTACCGGAAAACAAAATCATAAAAAAAAGTTTAAAAAAAAAATCATGAAATTGAAATCAGGGTCAAAATTGGTTTATTGGTGAAATTGGACTAAATTGGGGTGTAAATCATGAAATTGGAGTTGAATTAGGTTTCAATGAATTGTGGGTAATTTTGACATATATAAATGAGTTTTCCTTATTTGCAAATAAGTTTGAATGATGTGAAAATATCTGTAAGACAAAAAAGTTGGATGTCCATTTATGAATTAAGTGCCCTGTCATGGGCCTATTTGCCATTTGCCCATGACTATAATCACAATGGGTCCGGTGTGCTGTTTTAAAAAATTCATCGGGGTTTTCGCTATTTTTATATCACACAGGGGTACTAATATAGATACCATTATATATATATATATATATATATATATATATATATAATTCCATCTCTTCTCTCTCACCCTTGTGAAAGATCGATGGAAGAATTAATGTCTGATCAGCCTCGTTTCAGGCAAATTAACAACGGTGCCATTGGGGCTGGTATATATAGATAGGATGATATATGATCATGCAAGAAATGACTCCGTAATTTAGGTTATTGGGGCTGGTGATACCCAACAAGCTGTAAGAGAAGATCATAGAATGAGTCCGAGTCGTCCAAACGTTAACGGCAGTGGTTTGTCCGAAGAAGATATCGAAAACTGTCTTAAAACGAGGAATTCGTGTCGTAGAGCAGAGGATGAGGAGAGTGATGAAATTTGTGCGATTTGCTTGGATGATATGATCACGTCTTGTGAAAAGGAAAAAGAGGAGACGACGACGACAACAGCGATTGGGAGTCTCGACTGCGGGCATGAATATCATGTGTGTTGCATCAAACGATGGTTGCGTACTAAGAATTCTTGTCCGCTCTGTAAAGCGGTCGCATCACGTCGGATCAAAAATATAGATTAATGTGGAAAAACAATTAATTGGTATTAGGTAATTTCAGATTTATGTTGCCTGCTAATTCATAGTCGTGCTTTTTTGTGTATTATTTACATAATTTGCTGTTAATCAACATCAGTCTTTTCAATTAATTTGCTGTTTTTGGCACCATATTTTCAATACTTTTATTAGGTATAGTTACAATCATCTGAATATTATTTCTACTTATTAGCCTGAATTTGAGCTCTATTCCCGGCAGCCTTATCATGTGTTACACGCGCGAATTTTGCGCCTGCGTGTGTATTTGGTACCCTGGAAACACCAAAATATCCTTTTAATTAAAAATTTCAGAAACTACAGATGCTTTTAATTAAGCCCCAAAATGAAGTTTTTCAACTTTTAATTAAGCCCCAATTTTTCGGTTACTGGCAAACGGTGGCTCTCCCACGTGTGCGACGGTGGATGTAACACATCCTAACACCCACCGCCAAACCCATCTTTGCCCGATATCCATGTTTCTGAAATCGGTGGCTTTGAAGGTGGAGAAAATCGAAACAAATGATTTGTTTATGATGTGAAGCTTTACTAGCTTTGTTATATATTCCATGTGTACTAGTTACAAGGCACTAATTTGCCTATAAATATGAATGCGACTGAGATGAATAAACATTCAGTTTTACACACAAAAATCCATCATTTATATTTAAACTGTTCTTCTCTCCTTTTGACATTTAAGTATTTCAAAATTTTGTTTCCAATATATATAAATATTCTATAAAAGGTTATCAGCACGAGGTTTTGATCGATAGAGTTTTGCTCTTTTCTTCTACTCAATTTTAAGAAAATCCAAATCCTCAATAATATTGTCGAAAAGACAATGGAGAATCGAGAATGATGAGAGAATACTTCAATATTTTATATGCTATTATTTCTCAAATGATATGATGGATTCTTGTATATACATATATAGCTAATACATTAATTGAATTGCTGCTGAAATTTATATTTGTCAGTTAGTAGTTGCTCGACAGTCGACCCATATATTTTTTATTTGGTCCCTACAACAATCCAATGAAAAACAGTTTAAGTCCAATTCAAATTCGACCAATAGTAATAAGAGATAAACATTGTGAATTCTCCCTACGGTGATCAATTTTGGTTCTAGTTTATCTGAAAGTGGTTTCCAGAGGTCTAATTTGATTTCAAATGAATCTATCTACATCTCTTGTAAACACTATAGTATAGTTGAAATTCTAATGACAGAAAATGCATACAATCGGACCTCATACTACTTGAAGCCAACAAACAAAATAATACACCATGGGCATCTTAATTGGTTGGCAGTAGTATGACACG